CACTCTGAGTGTCCTTTGCAAGTATATATACCATAAAACCAAGGCATTACTATGGTACACTCCTAGCAGTTTTATGGGACAGCACCTATCACCTGCCAAAGCGCACTGCAGAAGTGCCATAACACACAGAGCTTTAAATATTTCAGCTCAGTGTGCCAATAGGATAAAAAACTAGTACTTCGATAATGCTCAACTAGTCCAACAGGATTGTTTTCAGAAGGTTTCTGATATTTTTTCTAGTGTATTACAAGTGGCACATGTAACACAGCACTTTGTAACATTTGAGGCTAATGCTCTGAAATATTCATTAGTGTTGTTAGTCACCTTAGAGCAATTACTCATCATCCTGCCTCTGTTCCCCACTCTACAACAGGGACATAAGCCGGCACTTTCAAAGACGCTGTATCCACTGGACTAGGAAACAAATGCTGCCTTTTCCCCAGGCTCGGTTTGTTCACCAGGGTCTGTGCATATGGCACTGTCTGAGAGCAGCTGTTGTATTTCTTGAGCTCGTTAGGGTGCCCTAAGGTAGAACATGTCCTTTCCATTCGATGACAGGGTTGCGGTTAACAAAAAATTCTGCTCTGGGCATCATTGTTGTGCTTCTTTCCGAGAGACCTAAACCTGAAGCCTGAAGAAAAATAAGAATTTAAGCCAAATTCCCAGTCATCCTTGTTTTTATTTCTCTAACCTCAAGTTTATTCGATAAGGAGTGTCTGGTTGCTAAAATTGTACGATTAAAATGTCAAAGACAGTTCTGTAGAACACAGACAATTATTTAAAACTATTTTGGATTAGGTGACAGTTAAGGACTATAATCTTTCTAGTTTTTTAGTAGTCATAAAAGTTCCTCAAAATTCCTATGGAAGATAAAGTCATGCTACTTTAGAAACATTTTCTTAAAAATGTTAAGTCAAAAACTCTGGAATACTTTATAGGCTTTGCACGGTATTTTCTGACGGAAGGGGAAGTCTAGAACAGTAGTAGTCATGCTTTCTGCTCAAGAGTTAAAACCACAGCATTGCCTTGACATTACAAAACCACTGTTCAAACCAAGTAATTTTCAAAATAACAGGAAAGGCGGAGTAATTGGAAAAGTATTACGAGTTCTTCTATAACTTTGGTTATCCCTGTCACATTTTTTTGCATCTTTTCCCCTTTTACTATATCTTTTCTGATATAGCTGGAGGATCAGACCTGAACATGGTATTTAAGATGCAGCTCACCATGGATACAGACCATAATCAAGTCTGGCATTTCGTGCTCTGCTCATTTCTTAACAATTCCTAACAATTTATTTTTTTTTGACTGCAGATGAGCACTCAGCTGACATTTCACAAAACAAAATCCATTAGTACTACCTAACCAGAACCATTGTCTGCATTTGTATTCCCAATTTATTCAGTCAAGTTAATCTTGTTAATTTTCTATTTGCTATGATGGGTATTTATTTCATAACTGGGCTCTGGACTGCTGGATTATTTAAATATGCATATGAGTTACTTTAATCGCACTAATATATGCTTTAACCCTATGCTTTATTTCCTTTATCTGTGTATCTTACCTGCAAAAGAAAGGCTTCAATCCATATCTGTTCAAAAGGAAAACCAATAACCAGGCTAGCTTGCAACATAATTTTCTTTTCCTTTTTTTCCCTCCCTTGTGCTGCACGTATTCATACTTCATCTATGCATTTAGAAAATTAGATTAATGCATCTTTGAAAGAAAATAAATAATGATGTGCAATGATTGCGTGAAACAAGGTAGATTACACTCCTTCCAGTGACTTTCCAAATTTTTAAATGGAACTGCAGGTAATGCTCTCACACCTCCGAGCCTTGCTTTAATGGCGCACGCCCAGGACCTCACGTGCCGGATGGCACAGGGAGTTTACTCGCTCTTGAGATGTTAAACAATAACTCTGTCCTGGAAACCATTTGCTGATTAGGCTATTGAAAACGGAGGAGACAACACAGCATCTGGTATTCCTGAGTACCCCCGAAGTTATCGTAGAGAAACATAAAAAGTGTGTGATCTCATTTTAATGGAAAAAAGTAGTTTCGGGATATTTCCCAAAAAGCCGTTTCAGAGAAAACAATAATGGACTTCTCCATTTTCACCTCCAGATTTTAAATTATAAACATAAACATACCTACATTTGACAGCAAGATTGACCATTTGCAGCAATGTTTTCCTCTTTACTGTCATTTTATACCATCCAAAACCGCTTAGTATAAAAACACTGCAATACCTTTGTACAATTTAGCAAATGTTTATGGAAAAAAATATTCATTCCAGAAGATGAAAGATAGACACTTCAGAAAAGAATTTGACACAAACAGTATATTTCTATTATGGAGGGAAATGTTTTTTAGGTGAATATTACTCTCGCTCTCACATTGCAGCCAGTGTTCAGTTTTTATCTTTTGCTATTCACCAGTAATAGAATAGTTTTAAACATTTTACTATTAAATGTCACCATAAGAGCTAAATGTTTTAATATCCAAAACACCATGTTCTTTTCTGACAGTTCAGATGCATCTCGAAATGTGTAAAGGCCAGATGGAAACTACTCTATTCAAATGGACACATTCGCTTTAAGTGCTACATACAAAACACGCTGAAATAAAGCATAATATGTTTGAATGTCACTGTGCTTGGCATAGCACTTAGGCACCTAGAGGCTTTACGCAACCATCGTCCTACAGAAAAGGCAATTTCACGTACTTCAAAAAGAGCGGTACATTTTTCCCAGGTTTTGTGTTTCCCAGTTCCATGCAGAGAATATTACCTAATTCTACCTACTGTTAATTTCTAATTGCAAAGAAACTCCTTTGTAAGCAAGTCCTGTGCTTACCCAAGCCTGGAAGAATGGAGATGTTTCAGATGGACGTGTGTGCAGCGGGCGGGTCGGCACCCTCCTTTCAATACCCTACGCCTGTCATTGACTTCAGTGAGATACAGCGTAAGCCCCCAAACGCGAGTGGTGGCTTATAAATATAGTACTGCAATTTTAAAGGAATAACAAATTTCTTTGAAAACAGCTTCAATTTCTTTCCCTTTCTTCCACTTCCCATTTCATCACGGACTGCTATCTGTTGTTCACCCTAATAGCCTGAGCCCCCAAGCTGCCTGAGCACTCCGACCTGCTCCAACAGCTGCTACCAGTGGCTGAATTAGAAGAACTTTGGGAAAGTTTAACACTAACTGCTTAAATGGGTCTAAATTAAATCTATTTAGTTGTCCAGACAATGTTGATTTTTTTTAATTCTTTTTTTCTCCCAGATGTACACTTTAAATTTCAGCTAAACACATGCTGAATTGAAATGTCTAAACCTTATAGTCCATCAAATCAAAACTAAATTTGGCTTAAGGACATTCTCAGCATTTATAGTATGGATCTAAACTATATCTAGCGAGTTTTCTGTTCTCAGGCATGTCAAATCCTAAAGTTATTTTAATGCAGCATTGAAAATTTCACAGTTAAAACTATATGGTAACAGGGAATGTAAATACTGAAGTACCTGAAGAGCAGACTTAATACCAAACATATTTCTTTAATGTTACTTGTGTCAAAATGGTTTATTTAAAGGTACCTTCTTGGAGCTTGTCTTTTTAACAGCAATTGGAAAATGTGTCGTGGCTTTCATAACTTTTTTGGATGGCAAAGTTCACATGCAATGTCTTTACCTGAAGGCTTGGTGATATCCTAAGAGGTGAGGAGGCCTTCAATGCATGAGCTTTGTTTAAATTGTGTGGTGCCACAAGTATTTGTCCTTCATTTAGCTTTCCAGTTACACAGCCCATTTTCCAGTTTTAAGAGCAAAATGTGGTACATTCAGGGGTTTTTTTCCCCCTTGTAACAATACTTAAAATGAAAGATGCTTTGTTTTAGATCTCTTTAGCTTCATTTTGCATTTTCCTTAGAATAACCTTGCTCAGCTTCATATCCATTATAAAAGACAAAACTCTGCCAGTAAAGTGTGCCAAAGTAGAACATTTTTCTCTGAATTCACTTCCCAAGCACATGGAAAGATATTTTTCATTCTGTTACGTGAGGTGGCTGTTTTTTCTGAAGGTGTAAGTGAGAGCCAGCTGACACACACGCTTTCCTCTGCTCCTGCACACAGCACTTCCTGGAGAAAGTGTCAGTGGTCCTCTTCTACCTTCAGTGGTCTTCTCTCCTCCTCTCCTGCGTTTGGCATGCAAAACTACCTCTCATTGGAGGGCTACAAACAGAAATATTCATGACATCTTAAACCTTAGATGTTAGGTTTAAGAGGGTAAACCTTCCAGGCTCCCTGCACAACGAAGCCGCTAGGCTCATCATGATCAACACTTAAAAAGCAAACAAGGGTCTTCAGCAAATAGGGTGTTTCAGGAGCTGCAGTACCTTCCAGCTTTACACGAGACACCCGCTCATCCTCTTTCTTCCACAGAATGGCACTGCGTATTGCAATATGTCAAGAAATCATGATCTAACTTGCTGCTTTGTCTGCAGACCTCCCACATCTTATTAAACATGTAAATTGTTGCTGAAGTGTTTGTCATTTTGCTGGCAAGTTTTCATACAACTCTTTTCTATACAGAAGAAACACTTCATCTCTGCTTTAGTGTAACTTCTGACACCTGTTAAGGCTCACTGAGCATCCACAAGGCCAATCTGTAGAGAGGGATGGGCAAGGTCTTCAGTATTAACTACCTTTGTGCTTGATCCACCCTTAGACTTCAAAAATACATACTTAAAAATGTGCATGCTCAGAAGTTAAATATGATTAAAAAAAATCATTCCCTTGTAGACATTATATAGCTACTTACTAGTTAGTGCTGTATTACTAATGTGATACCTACTTTTATCCTGCAGTGTTTTCCTCAGTAGCCAAATTACTTGTTGGATTAATAAAATGGTATGGAAAAAGTAGTAACAAGTGCTGTGCTCATAAGCACACAGATTGTAATATTTGAACTGTATTTTTTTTCCTCATGTTTTATTCTTGCAGTGCAGTGTGATCCACCATGTGAGCATGGAGGAACTTGTCTATCTCAAAATACTTGTTCTTGTGCTTATGGATTTGTTGGTCCTCGATGTGAAACAAGTATGTATGAACTCATTCGGGCTTTTCCCCTCATCACATGTTTGAATTTGCAGAAAATTAGAGGACAAGCAAAGCCTTTTTATTTTTCTATATTTCCCCTTAAAATGATGATTGAATACAGCAAGGAAATCAAAGTATAATATATTGAAGTAACACAGTAGCTAAACTATTTCAGAGCATATATTTACCAGCAGCATAGTTGTATTATGGAAAAATATGCACATCTATATCAACATTTTCTACATAAAAGTGCTTCTGGAAAAAAAAACAAATACAAAAAAACCTCCATGTTATTTATAGTAACACTTATGAAATTCAAGGTTGTGCGAGTGAATGTAGTAATGCTAATTTTGAAAACTCAAAAAGACAACCATACCTATTAGAAGTCATGTTATTGTGCAATACAAGGTACAAAAGAAGTTCAATATATAGAACATCTGGGAAAAAAATCAGCATTCAAACCTCTCTATATTAGCTGAATGGCAAAACATATGCAGTTTCATTATTACAGTCCTTGCTGCTTATTTAAATATCAGGTTGCCCTTGACAGGAATATAATTTTATCTCTGAACCAGAGTAGCTGGAATACTTAAAAAGCAAAGAATTTTAGATGCAGGACTTCTAATAGAGAAAGAAAACCAAGGAAAGGGACAAATTCATCCCTCAGTTTACCTCTTGGACTAATACTATTATTATTATTTGCTGTAATAGAGCTACTTTAGGATCTGCATCGGTGTTACCGGTAAAAGGTTTTGATCTTTTGCGTATTTTCCAGTGGTGTGTAACAGACACTGTCACAACGGCGGGGTCTGTGTGTCGCCAGATGAGTGCAAATGCAGAAATGGATGGAGCAGCCCTTCTTGCGAAAGAGGTAAGTGGTTAGAAAGGACTGGTCTCTCGCGTCTTTTGCTGCCTGAAATCCGTGTGATTCCCGCAATTCAGCGGTCAGACTGAGAATTACTTAAAGAATTAAAACATAAGAACAAGAGATCTAGTAAAGGGTAAAACCTCGGAAGGTTTTGAGTTTAGGTAAGTATTCACAAGTTTAGATGTTTATCTAAATCTCAGGGCCACGTAGAGGAAACCCACAAACAAAATCTTTTTGCAGCTTTTTAAACTTGGGTGGTTCTGGAGTTTATTCTTAGCATGCACAAAAATGAAAATAAAGCTATTCACCATTCCAGGAGTTACAACCTTACTAGGTAGCTTCTGCAAATGAGAATAATTCTCACTGGGACTTTGGAGATATGTTGATTTACAGTCTCAGCTGCCATGGACGTAACCTCACTCTTTGTTGGTCTTGTTCACAGAGAGCTCAAAGAATGAGCCCTGCCCCACACCCACGGTGGCAGAGATGAGGGCAATGCAGCCATCTGCACTGCTCACAATCTGTGCAGCCTCCAGTTTTCATTGCTTTTAACCCTACACATTTGTCTCAAGGTGTGGTGGTGGAGCAGAAAGAAGAAGGGTTTGGCCTTTGGTGATTTTTTAACGATATGCAGTCAAATCTGAACTTAAAAATACAGTTTATGGAGACAGGAATAGAAGGAGGCCAGTTTAAGTTAGGACAAGAACATAAGCAAGCAACCGTGACTTCTGGTGCTAAGTTAGCAACTACATATGCACTTCTACTCTAAGGAAGGAAAGCGAACATCGAAGGGTAAGCTGTCAGAAGCAGATTTTTGTGGTCCAGTTCTTGGATTCAGTTTCACCATCCCAGAAGATGGCTTGTGACTGCTACGAGAAAAAAACAAAAGCCAGTTTGCAAGAAGAACATAACCGTTCGCCCCCTAATGTTAAACATCCTGCTGCTGCCAGAATTCACACCGCTCCTCCTGCGTTTCATACTTGCAGAGTACCTACAAAGGCATCCACAGAAGTGTGCACGCTCAGGGAAACGCCACCTCCACCAGTCAGTACAAAATGACAAGGTGAGGGTTGGAACTAGGTACCCATTTTTAGTCAGGACTCATCATTTTGAACCCTGTTTTGAATAGATACAGCTCAGACCTTCCTCTCAGGGCCTAAGCGCCAAAAGCTGGAGTACCTATTTTTCCTCCAAAGGCACAGCAGCTACAGCACTCACCTGGGACAAGGCATGCAAAATAATGAAATATTAAAAGGAGCGAGAATGAGGGGTACCTTAATCAGTGCCAAACCTCAGGGCTACAGAGGCAGTCTGCCTCTGCCATAGTGAATATTAAATGACTAAGACACCTTCAGCCTACATTACCTTCCCTGGAAGGTGAGAGATGTCATTTTAACCTCCATCTCCCGGAGACTGCTCTTCCTCTAAGTGTTGAAATGACAGACCTATTGAGGACACATAAATTAACCTAGCTAAGATCCATGGTAAATGTCTGGGATTGCCGCCAGCTATTCCGGTTCCCACTATCTCCTCTTTTTCCTGCCGGAGATTACTCCAGTTCTGCAAATTTCTTTTGGGGTGGCTTTAAACAGGATTATTCCAAGACGACGACAGGCAACAGCAGCAGAAGCAGTAATGTCCAGCCCAGACTAACAGCAGCAGAATTTGTTTGTCTGCCAATACCTTAGGTGAAAGACCATCAGGCTCACCTCTCCGGCACTCTTTTGTGTGCACTACACAGAGTATTTTGTCAATACTGTTGGGGTTTCCTGCCTCAAGTGATATGATAGGAGTCTCTGGATGAACACAGATAAAGAAACAAAAAATAAGGGACTTCACCAATGGAAATATAAACATTGACAGAGTGTGGATGTCTGTGAACTAGCTAGGACAATGAGGCAACTAATCCAAATTCACCATTAGCAATGAATGAAGTTCATTTTGACTTCATAAGTGATTGGTGCTTAGTCAGAAAAGCCTCTCATCTAGACTAAAATTCCACTTTTTTCTCTTTCCAAATTGACATTTTATTTCTCCTTTAGTTCATCTGAAACATTTTAGTGACCTTAATTTATTTAAGCTTAAATGTATTTAATTTATTTAATGGGCTATTCTGCAAGATACTGAAAGACAAAGGGAATAGACTGAAAAAGACTGTTTTAAAGTGTCGCTCTGCTTTCAATGAAAACTTTATCGGGATTCCTTATTCTTCACACAGTGACTTCCCAACTAAACTAATTTGCAATTCTAATGCCTTTTTTTTCAACAGTTGGGTACTTGCCGCATAGGAATATGCAAGACAGCTTTTAATCCCTAATGCCTGTTATATCATCTACAGTAATAATAGACAAATAAAGAGGCAAAGGAAGCTCAGCCAGTGGCTTTCTTGGTGATGCATAAGCCAATATGTTGCGGGAATTGGCATTGAAATGAGGCAGAACAAACGGAGGTTTTGCGGTGCATACCTATTCAACTTCACGGAAATGCCACAATGCTCTGCTGAACTCAGACAAAGCAGCGAATGGTTAATATCTCATGTCCAGGTTATCCAGGCTGTATGCAATCTGACTACATTTTACTACCTTGGGATCATGTTTGGTGAGGATACTAGAGTGGAAGCAAATGAACTGTGCAAATCAAAGGAAGACATCAGAAATAAACTATTAAATTATATTTTATTTCATCCCCCAAGCTATGCTAAAACACCACTGAAACGCTCCCACTGTGTTGGCAATGAATAAATGCCACAGCACAACTGACCAGCAAAGACTGTGTGAAATTTATCACAATATTACCAGGAATGTTTATTCTAATGACATGTGCAGCAGCAAAAGAGTGCCTACTCTAAAAAAATTCAAAATTATAAGAGGTTCGTACGGTCATCTTATATTCACATACAGCTGTGTGCAACCCTGTGTGCTTGAATGGAGGAATCTGTGTACGGCCAAATACATGTACATGTCCTTATGGTTTCTACGGGCCACAGTGCCAGAGAGGTAAGAAAGTTCTATTTATCATCTTGATAAAGGATCCAGGCTTAAAATATAAACAGCAGCCTATATCATTACCTGCCCCCACATGAAGTATATCCAGAGACTTTCTTTGTCGTAACCCCCTGTGGCTCCTTTAATGTTATAGTCTGTCATAAATCCGCATTATAATGTTCTTAATGGTATTGTGAAGGAGTAAGCACTTATTTATGATGGCATTAATGATAACTAAACAATTAACCTAAAACTATCTGAAGTCAGTGATGTCACTAATTAGCAGCTATTCAATTAAATGTTAAGGCATGGCTCTACTTTGTTTATTTTGCGTACTCTATAGCGTGTACTATACTGTGTTTCAGAGCCAGATGATAATTTACCTTCAAATGGGGCTCACAATATCACCTACTTGACCATCCTAGAGTGTAGTGGATGGGAGACTTGTATAGGACTTCTTCAGATCCCTGCTCAAAGATCTGATCAAATATCACTCTGCCAGACACAGAGCAGGACCTGATTTTGAATCCCTGTCCTAAAGGGGAGAGCTCTAAACTGAGGCTATCAGTACCTTGGGCTTCTTGCTCACTTCACTTGTGCTGCAGAAGTCAAATTAATGAATACTTTACCCATTAGCCCAGGCAGAATAGACGTGAGAAAAATTTATGTTTAGGGCTCAAATAGCTGGAAGACCCCTGTGCTTATACCACTTGCTTTTCATTATTTTGAGCATGGATCTAATAACCCCTCCTGAATCTGGGAATATAAATACACTCTTACTACCAAACCTGAACTATTTCAATATTAAAAGTATTTTTCTCTTTCTCTCTCTCTTTTGTTTCCCTGGAGTTCCTAGATGAATGCAATCCAAATGCATTTTTTGCAAGTGAATGATTCACACACAAAAATCTAATTGCAAATGGAGCTTGCTGGAAGCTCTTTGTTTTTGTGATGTTGGGGGTGAAGGAGAGAGTGAAAATGATACAGACTCTGTAATTTGATGATCTTTCTCTTGAGGTTCAACACGGAAGGTGATTTTCAACACCTAGGTGATTTGGAATTTTTGTCCTTAAGTGTTGTGGTTTAGACAGAACTAAAACTTGAAAATAAATATCCGCATTTATGGGATATGGAAGTGATATGGGGAGATAGCGGATGGATGCTGAAGAAAAGCAAAACCCTTCCTTCTGCTTCATTGAGAAGGGGGGGAAGAAATAGCACCAAAACCAAGTTAGCAAATATCAAACACTGATCTATATTTCAAGGGCAGAAGCCCCTGAAGAAGCCCTTTAGCTAGAGAGTTAAAAACCCAAGAGATTCTCAGAATATTCCGACCACTTAACTGCAGGTATCTAAAAGAGACCCTAGGTGCTAGGAGTCATGTCCCACATTCTTTCCACAAACAAGAGAGAATCAGGATCTCCAGCTAGGCATCTGCCCGAATCACCCTTTGGAGAGACACCTTCTCTACCCCGACTAAAGAATAAAGCCTCTGCAGACTGCTCTCCCGACACAGGTACCTAAATAAGGAGCCTATATTTAGGCAACATTGAACCCCTGTGCGATTTCAGTGCGCAAAACTTTTGCTCTCCTTTCACTAGCTGTTTGCATTCCCCCTTGTAAGAACGGCGGTCACTGCGTTCGAACCAATGTGTGCTCCTGTACCGAGGGCTACACTGGAAGAAGGTGTCAGAAGAGTAAGTGACAAACTTCCCTTTGCTTTCCAATGTTCTCTGACTCATAAACAATTTTTCTCCCTTATGTGCATGTTCCACAGAATATTTAGTCTGGACTTATGCCGTGATCTCCTATATTTCTATCAGAGCACATATACCACTATGTTATGTCTAAAACCAACCTGTTAATTAGAATAGCATTAAGTCAAGTCAATGTTGGGAGTAGAACATTTTGCTAGAATCCTCTCTAAATATTTCATGCGTTCAGAATGAGTAACACTCGTATTTGGAGATGAATTAATTATTTTGCATTAAAAATTTGGGGGGGGGGGGAATTAAAGCCAAAGACAGAGCAGCTGACTGAAATCCTTAAACATATTAGAACATCATACTTCTAGCTTAATTAAGACAGTTGGTTAATAACGCTTCAACCTTGCCTTTGTTCTTTTCACTGAAAACTCCCTCTTCACCTTAGCATCGGTATTCATATTCGATTCTTCTATTCTTCTGGGGAAATAGGTTATTTTGACACTTTTACAGACTCTATTGCTCAACAATATCTGTCACCCAGGGAATTTAGGATATGTATGTGAATTTTTTTTTTTTTTTAATTATTTCTTAACCAGTTTGAAATTGGCAAAAGGGGAGCTCTGAAAACAACCATTCTTGGCAGGAAGAATCTGTACATTTCTAGAGCACTTTATGTCTCTCACACACAGAGAAAAAAAGCTAGTAAAAAATTCCTTCCAGCAACAAAAGCCCTCTGAATCCCCATACTACAGCTCTCCCCTCCTTCAGCAGGGAGAATCACGATGCACAGTTCTGCCTGGCTGCAAAGTACACAATTGAATAGTGTGTTCTGGCAGGAACAAGCTGGAGGGAAGAAAGGAGGAAAAAAACCCTTATGTTTGGTATCTTGTTTTTGAGGTTAGAGAACATTAGAAAAGCACTGTTTCCAGCTTTAAACATACTACCACATCTCCAGACAGATAAAAGAAAAAAGAGGTGATCATGATTGCAGTCTAGCAAAGCACTCCCCTAAATGCTCCAAAAGCTACTACCAACCCACAGCACATTTCTTTCCACTTTCAAAAAGTTTATGAGGTTTTGTTGCCCGTCTTAGTATAATCTTTTGCAAAAAAACCTTTCTGATATGATGAAAATATTTTTGTTCTGTCCAATCTCAGCCTCCATTCTACTTCAATAACCAGTATATAGTCTGTTTTACTTAGCCTAGTGTTATAAAAACTTAAAGAAAGGACCTGTGTCCATAATGAATGAAGAGTAACATGATTAAGTAGAAGGCAAATGCTACTCTTTGCTTACTCTTACTGGCCACTGACTGTTAATAGGTAAAAATGTTGAGTAATGTTTCTTTTTTCTTGCTTACAGTCAACGGTACACGGGACAGGTATCATGATTCATAGAAAGAAATAGTTTATTCACAAGCTCTTCATAGCAAGCAGTTGCTATTAGAGCTGTATGTCTTATCATTGTTGCCATATGAAATAGCTTCTCTCTCCTCTGCCAGAGGATCCAGATTTCTCCACTCCTCTGGAGCAAAGGACTACAGGGCACGCAGCAGAAGTAAGTCTCGGCTGACCTCCGCAAACCTTCCCCCACAAACAATACGGAGAAAACTAGTGCTCCCATCAGTTGGATGCCGCTCCCAGTCCCATACATCTCGGAGTTCAAATGCCAAAGGCGTTTCATACCTTTTTTTAGGTATGATTTTATATCATTTTCAATCAGGCATTGACCTGATTAGAAGATCAGCTGACGTACTTGGCACACAATTAAAGGCTAGGAGTATATACATGGACATGTATTCCTAACTTATTTACACACAGACAAATAAAAAGTGGAAAATAAATTCCTAGAATGAAGAATTTCCACTACCCAACCACTTTTTCTTAAATAAAATATATAAAAAGTACCACAATATGCATTTTACATTCCAAAAAGAGCTAATATGTCATGTAGCTCATTTTGTCTCATTTGCAGTATCACTCGCAGTATATATATACTCCTACGGTGATCAAATAGATTTCGATAATCCTGCAGCCGCTTGGGCCTCTGACTCTGTAGAGGTGAGACCAGCCCCACGGGCTGTGTGCCTGAATGCTCAGAAACCTGGCTGGGAGATGATCTGTGCAGTGCTTTTGCTAACCTTCCTGGGAAGGGTATGGCAAGGAAGGGATCGGAAAAAAACCAGTAGATTTCTACTTTACAGAGAGGTATTTCTCGTGATTTGAGCATCTTTTCTGTTTGTCTTTAAGGACCTAATGAACCCGGCTGTGCCCTGTGTGAGACTTATGATTTAATTCTGGATGTATTACTTGCCATGGTAATTGCACAGAGTTGTAATATCCTTACACAAAGAGTAAGGAAAAGAAATACCTATATGACAATAGCAAAACTGTAATTAGAAACAAAGTTTACTGGAAGTTTAATACTGCAGCAGCTCCCGTTTGCAAATCACCAGGCCCAGGTACCACATTTTCAGAGAAACTGCCAGAGGTCAACCTGTGGCCCAAATCATAGCTCAGCAGCGTCTAATGCATCACTGCCAGGTTACCCCATGCGGACAAATGCACAGCTGGCTTAGCCAAAGTGAGAAAAACAATCCCTTGTGAGGGATTTCGTCATTATTTTACCTGTTCTTTGCTCTCCGAACATGAGTTTGCAGTGTCCTTAAGTCCTTTTACACTTCTAGTACCGTTTCAAAAACCTCTGACAGCAAATCAGCTTTACTATGTACTTACACTGAGTTTCTAATCTTAGAAATTTTGGGTGGATTTATTACCTGCCTAATAAAACCTATCAAGATAGAGTGAGTAAACTTAAGACTAAGAAAGACAAGTCTGAAGAAGTTTCCCACCCATGCATTACACGCAGAGCAGCCTCACATTCTTGATCTTTAGTTTGGGAAAATATTTGTGGGTTTGGGAAATTTCCCATGAACCATAAAAACTGAGAAATAGTCTTTTCAGAAACAGTGATCTGAACAAAAATATTACCTTTCTGAACCTGCAGTGAATGTTTGAAATTGGCAGTCTTCAATTTTGTCATTGTTTGTACACAGCAGTACACAGTTTTTGCACACATATCTCTGAAACCTAATAATAATGATACGAATTGCATCAGTAAACCCTTTGACTTCAGCTTTAATATGCTCCGACATGGAGTTAGAGCAAGGAGAAAATTCCCTGCCATACCCTGATTACAGTAGGGATGCTACAGTTTCCAGGCTTATCATACTATAACACACTTCTGGATGACCGCCTTGATGGAGTCACGTGAAGTCAGGGAAGCCAGAAGCACTTGGATGCCCATCCTGGAGATAATTCACATGTTAGGGTTGTTCCTGATGTGTGAACCCAAGTGTTTTACAACTCAGAAATTTTGTAACAGAACTAGTGTGGCCAGCAGGAGGAGGGAAGTGATCGTGCCCCTGTACTCGGCACTGGTGAGGCCGCACCTCGAATACTGTGTTCAGTTTTGGGCCCCTCACTACAAGAAGGACGTTGAGGTGCTGGAGCGTGTCCAGAGAAGGGCAACGAGGCTGGTGAAGGGTGTGGAGAACAAGTCTTATGAGGAGCAGCTGAGGGAGCTGGGGTTGTTTAGCCTGGAGAAAAGGAGGCTGAGGGGAGACCTCATCGCTCTCTACAACTACCTGAAAGGAGGTTGTAGCGAGGGGGGTGTCGGTCTCTTCTTACAAGTAACTGGCGATAGGACGAGAGGAAATGGCCTCAAGTTGTGCCAGGGGAGGTTTAGATTGGATGTGAGGAAAAATTTCTTCCCCGAATGGGTTGTCAAGCATTGGAACAGGCTGTCCAGGGAAGCGGTGGAGTCATCATCCCTGGAGGTATTGAAAAGACATGTAGATGTGGTGCTTAGGGCATGGTTTAGTGGTGGACTTGGCAGTGCTACGTTAACGGTTGGACTCGATGATCTTAAAGGTCTTTTCCAACCTAAATGATTCTATGATTCTATGATTCAGATGTAAGTAGCAGCTGTTCAAGTGGGACAGACCTTTGTCTTTGTGATGAGTCAACAAAATAAGAATAATAATAGTTGTGGGTGTCTGTTTCTCCAGTAATTAATGCTCATAAGTACTTCTTTCATCTGAACAAATGTCATAAAACGGCACCTTAATATCGGTATTTGAAATAACAGAATAAAGACGTCACATACTCTAAACAAATTGCATATTTGTCATGATACCAGTTTTATGAAGTTTTTTTTAGGTAGGAACAGTGTTTAGAGGCAAAGATAAAAATAAGTCCAATCAGGTTTTTGGTGACTTACCACTTGGATATTTTGGCATTTTTTCCACTGCTTTTAGACATTTCTCTTTCCTTCTTAATATCTCACCTGCATGGACAGAGAAACAAAAGCTTCTGTTTGCTTTTGGCAGCTTCAGATTCTCAACTGAAGGAGATAATTAAAACTAAAAACCATGGCAGTGAATCAAAGACAAGTTATTTCTAAATTGAGCCCAAATACGCTACTGGTTTATTTTGAATATTTGGCAACATGCCTTAGGATTTTCACTTCCATCCCTGTCTGTACAGTTTGGCATTTCTAATACTCTCTGCCTGACACCTAAAAATGTGCAGGACGGAGTGGCAGCACCATGCCTTTGCCACGTGGGCTTACTCTTTTTTGCTTCTTCAGTATACGGAGAAAGGCATTCAGCCTGAATTTTGTGTTTGTTTTGTATATAAATAAACATCGTCTCAAAAAAACGTGTAAATCAACCAGGTCTGATTGGTTGCCAGCTGAAATATAAGGCTTTGCCTGGTGTGTTTACTGATAAATAACTGCCTGGTGATTATGCAAACCAGACACCCACACCCAGGACGAGTGGGTGTCAGAGCTGACAGTGAAATGTACGGTTATGCCTCGGCAATTGTACAGCCTTGTATCCTCACTTGCTACGCATTGTTTTCAGTATAATCAGTCTTGTTGAGTGGAAAGAGGCAAATTCTGGCAGTACCTCAAAATAAAATATATTT